TAACCTGTCCCCGGCAATGGCGGCACCAGCCCTGTCAGCGGCCTCGTGCCTGGCGTTGGGGCGTGCTGTGCTGCCTCCCACCCCAGGCACGTCGCCTTCCCACGGTGAAGCCCCAGCACCCGGCTCCACGCGGTGCGGGTCAGACCGGGGCCGATGGTGGCCGCGCTGGCAGGGGCTCCCGCCCGGGGGCTGGCGGCTCACCGTCCTTGGCCCCCGCGTGCCGGTCCCGGCTTGTACCGCGCCCCAGCAGGGTGCCAAGCTGGTGACGCCAGGACACTGTCTGTCCCGGTCTGTGGTGGGGGCCTGGTGTCCCTTGGTACCGCGCCCCAGCAGGGTGCCAAGCTGGTGACGCCAGGACACTGTCTGTCCCGGTCTGTGGTGGGTGCCTGGTGTCCCTGGGGACCCCCCCGCAGCAGAGGGTCGGAGGTGCCGAAGGGTGCCTGGGCGGGCCGGGTGCCCCGGCTGCTGCCCTGTGCCACGGGTACACCGGGGCCAGCACCTTCCCGCCGCACAGGTTGATGTCCCCCTCCTGCAGCCTGGGCTGTCCCTGCTGTAGACACGTGGCCATGGTCACCGGCCGTGCGGGGGTTCGGGGACCCCCATGGGTCCCCAGGCACTGGGGCACCGTAACCCACCGGCCTGCAGTGCCCTGTGGCTCAGCCGTGGCAGCCCCCAGGGCCCCCTGGCCAGGCTGCTGGGGGGCTAGGTGCCAGTGCCGGTGGGCGGGCACTGACCTTGTTTTTATTTGAAAAGCAGCCGGAGCAGCACCAGCACCCTCTGCCCGCTGCTGTGGGCCCGGCAGCGGTGACGTGCCACGCATGGGGACAGGGACGCACCGTGCATGGGGATGTGCCACGTGGCAGGGATGCCCCACGTGTGGGGATGTGATGTGCACAGTGCCGTGCGCGGGGATGTGCCGTACACGGTGCTATAGACAGGGATGTGCCGCGCACAGCAGGGGTGCACTGTGCTGAGTGCCATTTGCCCCGTTGCCATGGGCCGGCAGGGATCCCATGGTACGGCAGGTTGTGCTGCGCCCGGTCCTGCACCGAAGCCACGGCAGGGATGCACCGCGCGTCGTGCCCAGGACGGGATCCTGGCAGGGCGTGTGGCACCGTGCGTGGTGTGTCCCCGCCGCGCCTGTGACCCCACGGTCCCCCCAGGCCCCTGAGCCATGGCTGTGCTGCGTGTGCCCGGGTCATGCTGTCCTGCGCCCTCCTGCTCTGCTGCCTGCCCCTCCCGCGGTGCCTGGGTGCCTGCCCTGCCCTCACTGGCTTCCCCCGGGGCAGCACCGGGAGCCCCCTGCTCACTCGCTCTCCCTGTCCCCAGTGAGCTTTGCGGACTGCGGTGAGCAGCGGCGTGCCATGTACCTCTCAGATGACACTCGCTTCAAGGTGAGCAGGGACGGTGTCATCTCTGCGACCCGGCCCCTGCAGCTCCAGCGGCAGGAGATCAGCTTCTCCGTCCACACCTGGGACGCCGTGGGCAAGAAGCATTCGGCCAGGGTGACCCTGCGCAGGCAGCGGCACCATCGCCGCCACCACCACCACCAGCAGCAGCAGGTAAAGCGCAGCCCATCTCCCTGGGGTCACCGCAGCCCCTCTCCCCGGGGCAGAGCGTGCAGAGGGCTTGGCAAGGTGCTGGCACTAAGCCGAGCCACTCTCCCCGCAGGACGCAGCACCCGGTGTGCTGACCTTCCCCGAGCCCGGCCATGGCCTCCGGCGGCAGAAGAGGGACTGGGTCATCCCTCCCATCAACTGCCCCGAGAACGAGCGGGGCCCCTTCCCCAAGAAGCTGGTGCAGGTACGCGGCCCTGTGGGGACGGGGTGCAGGGCAGGGGGGTCCCCAGGATGCCGGGACCCCTCTAACTCCCCCCTCCGCCTCGCCGCCAGATCAAATCCAACAAAGACAAGGAGACCAAGGTTTTCTACAGCATCACGGGGCAGGGGCGGACACCCCCCCCCGTGGGCGTCTTCACCA